CGGGCCTGGGCGGAGGCGGCGCCGGCCTGGCTTCACCCGGACGCAGGAGCCGCGAAGCCGCCGTCGTCCGGCGGTCCTGGGACGCGGACCTGGACGTCCGGCCCGACTCAGTTCCGGCCGTTTGGGCGGGATCTGGACGGACGGAGCGACGCTCACCCTTGGGGGGCGCCGGCCCCGGGGCCCGGCGAGGGGCTCGTGTCCCCGCGCTCGCGGAGGGAGGGCTGCCGGAGCTCGCGGCCGGACCCCGGGGCCCGGCCAGCGCGTCGCCCCCTCTCGGGCGGGCGGAACCCTGAGCCCCGCGCGGCTCCCGCCTCGGCCCGCGGTCCGGGGGGCCCTCCGGGAGCGCAGAGGAGGGGCTCCAGGTGTTGGGGCCGTGATGCGATACGGCCGACCGTCCCCTTCTAAAATCGCGTGTTTTGCTACTCCACGGTCTTCAGATACTTTCTGCTTTCTTGTTTGAGCTTTGATAGGTGGGATATTTCACATGAGCCACTTTTCACAGGTGAAGCCGAGTTGTCCATCACCTTTTCCACGAGTCAGATGAAGCCACGGGGTGTCCTGTAAGTGCGCGTCACGGATGCTGAGAGAGTATGTGAAACTTGCTCAAGTTATTTGCTGTGCTTGCCTTCTACTTTTCTTAGGAAAATGCATTTCAAGACTATAGTGGTACTGTGCATTTCTAGACTGGAAGCTTTCTTAGGCAACAGAGATAAAAGAGATAAAAATAGCTGCTAATTGCTATCATTTATAAAGCTCCTGTTTTGCACTGGGCACCGTGCGGGGACTGTCACGGTTAATTCTCTGAAATCGGAGGGCGCGGTCAGAAGACCACGGGAAGGGGGACCTCGCCTCCCTCTCCACCCGTCCCCAGTTACTGTGTCTAGTCTGTGGCAGTCCTGGGCATCTCCACCTGGAAGCCTGATGGGTCTCTCAGACCCTTCGCAGGCTGCTCTCCCCAGGCTGGGCTGGAGGGGTGAAGGCTGCTGGTGAAGTGATCTGGTGTCTGTGGTTTGCTTCAGAGTAATGGATGGCAGAGGGAATAAGGTAGGGGTCAGAGGAACCGAGCTGGCCATCAACTGATCGTGACTGAAGCTCTTTGATGGGTACGTAGGGGTCAGTAATACTATTCTTTCCCCTTTTTATTGTTTGAAAATTTCTATAATAAAAATTTTTTATTCCCTCCATCTAGAATTGGACCTCTTCTTGCTGTCTCCGCTGCCACCACCGTGGTCCGCTGGGTTACCTCAGTGGCCCCCTAGCCCGTCTCCCTGCTGCCCCCTGGTCTCCTGGAGCATCCTCTCAGCTCTGCATCCAGCAGAGTCACTCCTCTACTCAGAATCCTCTGGTGGCTTCTCATCTCTTGCCCAGGAAAAGCCAAAGTCCTCTCCAGTGGTTTTGAAGCCCCGATGATTCCCATGGCCTCAGTTCTGTTGCTTGCCGTCCTGTGCACTTTGCTGCCACATTGGCCTCTGTGCCTCAGTCGCTCTTGACTGTGCAGGGCACTCCTGCCTCCTCACGGCTTCTGCACTCGCCGTTCCATCTGCCTGGAGCACTTGCCTTGATGCCTGGTTCCTCCTTCACCTCCTCTGTTTCTGTATTCAGATGTCACATTCTCTGTGAGGACTTCCCAGGTCATTATATTTAAAATCGTAACGCTCCTTAGCATCTGATACATTTCATCTCCCTCCTCGGTCAGCTGTCATCCCACTGGAGTTTAAGCTCCATGCAGGCGGGGATTCAGTCGGCCCGTTCTCCGATACACCTTCAGCATGCCTGGGGCCTGGCAGGTGCTTGGTAAATATTCGTGGAGTGATAGGTCTCCATTTTACAAAGTAAAATAAAACAAAGCCTTAGGAATCCTAAATTGTTCAACACCGTAGAGGTAGGATTGTCCGTGTGACCTTCTCGGTACGAGAGCAGTGCCGGGTGCCCTGTGGGTCTTCTAGTAAGGATTCTGAGGGAGAAGTCCTCGTGCCTGAGGCCAGTGGTCACACTGCAGACGGTTTCCTCCTCTGCGTGTGGGTGTGCAGCTCATCGATGCCAGGAAGGAAAGCAACAGGTTTGTAAAAGTGCTTTTTCTGTGCTTTATTTTCAGGTGGATCGAACCCCCTCTAGGACGCTGAGTGTGTCCATGGCGACAGCAAGTCCCCTCTAGATCACAGCGGTGGACAGAGGGATGTGCTCGGTCATCGCTGCTGCTGTGTGCTATACTTTTGGGGAATCCTAACCTTCGGTGATTGTTTTCTCTGAGAATTCAGTTTCTCAAATCTAGTATCAAGTGCTGGTATTTAGAGTGGAAGAAGCAGCTCCCCTAAAATGACTTCCTGATTTAGGCAGGAAAGGCTCCTCGCCGGGGTGGCCCAGAGCAGGGTTGAGGTACAGAAAGCAAGGAGTGTGTGCTGACCCATCCAGTGTTGGTACGCTCAGACTCTTAGATATTTTGATTTAGATGTTTAAGGAAAGGACTCTACTTGGGATGTGTCAGCATCCTGTATTTTAAAATTTGGTCGCGTTTTCGGTTTTTACATTTTGTTGCTTACAGGACTCATAGATAAATTAGACTTATAAATGTTTCAATTCAGAGCTAAGATTTAAATTTTTGATTGCCCTTAAAATCACATAGAATGATGACTACATCCCTGGCTCACATAATTGTTAAACATATGTTTAAAATATACATATTTATGTTATCATTTTTACATATCATAATGGTTAGACGTGACCATGTTGGTTTCCTAAATGTGATCATTTGCTACTAAGTGAATAAAATCAGCATCACTGAAAGAATAACTAAGCATAAGTGATAACTTGAATCTTGGCCATAGGTGTAAAAATCACAAATGTCATCAAATGATGGAAGATCCAGGAACCGGGACCGGCGGTACGATGAGGTCCCCAGGGACTTGCCCTATCAAGACGGCACCTTGAGAACCCTCCAGTCTCTTCACAACAGTGAGCTGGCAGAGAGCGCTGATCCTTTGCCACCACCCCCTCTCCCGTTACAGCCACCGTTCGGCCCAGACTTCTACTCAAGTGACACAGAGGAACCAGCCATAGCGCCAGATCTCAAACCTGTAAGGCGCTTTGTCCCCGAGTCCTGGAAGAACTTCTTCAGAGGGAAGAAAAAGGACCCCGAATGGGACAAGCCGGTGTCTGACATCAGATACATCTCCGATGGAGTGGAGTGTTCCCCGCCAGCCTCTCCAGCAAGGACAAACCCCCGCTCAGCCCCCAGCTCCTGCAGAGACCCTTACGGAGGGTCGGAGGGAGCCTCCAGTTCCCGGAGAGAAGCTGATGCCCTGTTCCCCCATGACGCCTGCGGGTCTCTCAGCCGACACACACAGTCCGCGCTGACCTACAGCGAGAAGGTGGCGGAATATAACCTGAGATACTCCTACATGAAGTCGTGGGCCGGCCTGCTGAGAATTCTGGGGGTGGTGGAGCTGCTTCTGGGGGCTGGCGTCTTCGCCTGTGTCACCGCCTACATTCACAAGGACAGCGAGTGGTATAACCTGTTTGGATACTCACAGCCCTATGGCATGGGAGGCGTTGGCAGCCTGGGCAGCATGTATGGGGGCTATTACTACACTGGCCCCAAAACCCCCTTTGTGCTCGTGGTTGCTGGATTAGCCTGGATCACCACCATCATTCTCCTGGTTCTGGGCATGTCCATGTATTATCGGACCATTCTTTTGGACTCCAGTTGGTGGCCCCTAACTGAATTTGGAATTAACGTTGCCTTGTTTATTCTGTATATGGCTGCAGCCATAGTCTACGTGAATGATACCAACCGAGGAGGGCTCTGCTACTACCCATTATTTAATACGCCCGTGAATGCAGTGTTCTGCCGGGTCGAGGGAGGGCAGATCGCAGCGATGATCTTCCTGTTTGTCACCATGATCGTTTATCTTATTAGTGCGCTAGTTTGCCTCAAGTTATGGAGGCACGAGGCGGCTCGGAGACATCGGGAATACGCAGAACAACAGGAGGTAAGGAATTTCATAATCTTTCACTTGTTTTTATTTTTTTTCTGTTGTTTACTTCCTAGTTAAATATGTACAGTTCTCAAAGAATTTATAGAAGCCTTTTTTTTTAATCTGAAGTTCAAAAGTCCTAGCTCAGTGTCTGACATGCTTCACTGGGGTAGCTAGCCCACTGGGGTGTCACTGTTGTGTAACATGGCAAGTAGACACCAGACCTGTAATATAATATGTAGTTTGTTGTCTGACGCCCAAGGGGAAAACACGGCTACTGAATTTCTGCAACGATGAACAATAACGTGTTCAATAAAATAAACATCTCATCGTTAAAGTTTGAGAACAATCTCGAGTCTTTAGTATGGTAAGACAATAAAAAACCAGACATAATTTTTCAGTTACAGGAGGGAAGTGCTCATTTAAATCTGTTATGTGAGTCTTGCTTTCTTCCAGTGAGTTAAATAAAGTCAAGTAAGAATATGGTGAGCCACATTTGATTTTTTTAAGTATCGAGAGAGTGAGTTGTAACGAACATGCTCTGTGAAAACCTGCATGTTGCTGTTTCATCCTTATTTGGGGAGACGAGTGTTCGAAATTAGACCAGGAGCCCTGCTCTTGTTTTTATTTCTAGGATTTAACTAAGTAAATAAAAGAAGGAGGAGGAGAAGGAGGAGAACTAATAATAAGAATACCTGGAGGATAAGATCATGTAAAAGCCCTATTTAAAATTATTTTATTTGAATGGTAGCAAAAATGTTAGAGTCTGTTCAACTAGCTTCATTATACCCTGAAATAAGTTAATGTTTTGCTTTCTTCTAAGGAGTGTGTAGTAGAATTTCCTATGCCACGGAAATGTCAGTATTACCTTAATTTTTTTCTTAATTTTAAGTCAACTATCATGCATTTTTCTTTTCCCACTTTTCCAAAGACTTCCTAGATGCTACATAATTGCACGTGGTGTATAGGGCAAACTATAGATAAAAATGAAACCCTGTGCGTATTTACTCAATAACCTATTTATTTACTCACCAACCTGTATATGTTGTTTTTCATCTTTTGCGCGAATCTTATGCGTAATAACAAAAAACTTGACTAATTTTATAACAGGTACCTTATGTGTTAGACCGAGACCCTCAACGTGTTTCACTGTGATCCATACTCTCTTATCAAAAAATGTATTTATCTCACTGGAACTCAACATAGATTTAAGTTATTTCTAAAAACTTATCTCAGCACATTAAGCATATTTCCTAAATTTACATCTGTGTATACAAAGTAAAGAACTTTAAATTCTTTTCAGTGTGAAATCCAGATGGTGAAACATACACACTTCCTCATAATTGTATGTAAATTTAACAACAGAGTTCTTAATGTCATTTCAGAATTCTACATGACTGTGACTGTAATTATCAATATAATACTTTCATTTCTTTTCCCCTTCTCAACAAAAACTTGTTTCTATAGGACTTTCATAATGTGATTAGACTTGAATCGCTTCTGATGTTGGAGGTTGGCCCTGTTTGTATATTGCTGTAACTTCCTAAAAGTTAGAAGATGTAATGGCCTGTGGCTTTTTTCTATTAATTTTGTAGGATAACTTTCCCAAACCCTTTAATTGTGCAAGGTAATGGGACCCAAGAATAAATAAAATTTATTTATTTAAATAAAACTTACCTAGGTAGTTCAGAGCAACTTACTTAGTAGTCTTCCCCGTCTCCATATTTCCAGCTCTGCTCTCTGCTCCTGATTGACAGGGAATCAGTTATCCCTCCTCCTCTTGTTCTCCACTGGTCCGTCTGAACGTGGCCAAGAGGTCAGGAGGAACGTCCTTCAAGTAGCGAGTCTACCTCTGTAAAATTGAGATTGTGCTACAAGTGCAAATGGGTGAAAATATTTGCAAAGTAGCTTCTTTGACACACCTTTGAAAAGTCATTTCAACTCTTTTTGTTCCAGATAAGTGAGCCATCATTGCCATCGAAAAGGAAAGTGGTAAGAATAAAGTTCACATTTTATTTTATCTCTAAATTTGTTAAATACTTTTCTCTCTTGTCTGCTTATCTGCAGAGTAGATCATCTGTCTGTGAAAGTGTATCTGTGACATTGAGTTGATAATAGGACTTCCAGCTTTTTTCTAATACTAAAAGGACGGAATTGGATAAGGCTATTTATAGCATCTTCTAATTTTGTTAGATGACAGCTTATGCAAGTCAACAGTTGGTTCTCCATATATGTTTAAAATTTAATTTTTTTAAATGAAGGTGATTCTTCCAAACTTTCCTCAGTCTCTTTCAAGTTCTTTGCCACTTTTTTCTGTCCTTCTCACCTTGCTTTCAGATGCCAGGTTTTTTCAGGAAAGATATTCCTATTCCACACTTCACTGTGTGGTAGTAGGCAAGGTATTGTCAACTTTTGAAAAGCAAATTCGCCTGTTATTTTATCTCAAAACCAGTTTATTCAGGAATAGCTCAAAGAATTGCAGTTTGGGACGTGCATGCTGTCTTGAACCACAGGCAAATCCAGAGAACAAAGGAGGGGAGCTGCTTTTATAGAGAGAAAGGGGGAGAGAGAGAGACGCTGTTCTGACGTCCATTGGAGGAAAGTATCAGTTCAGGGCGACAATGGCTTCTCATTGTCTGGGCTGTTGCCAGGCGGGGAGAGAAATCTTCCTTCAGCAGTCAAGTGGCTGTACTTCCTGGGGAAGATGCGAGCCTGGGTCTCTTCCTGGCTGGCGTCATGGACGGTGTGATGGGGTGAGAGCTCCTCCTGCAGGCCGGCCCGGCCCAGTTTAGTTGCGGGTTCTTTCATTGATTTCCACAGTGTTTATCCTCCAATGCCTTGATTTCTTCATGGGTAAAATTGGAATAATAGTAACTTCTACCTCACAAGTTTGCTGAGAGGATTCAACAAGATGTTGTTATTACAAATATTTACATATATGTAATAATATATTTTAATAATGATCATTTTACCTCATAGTAAAGTTCTTTTTAAGATATTGGGCATTGTTTCTAAGCAAGAACTTGAGAATCCAGCCTTTGGGTTTGTCTGTTTCTTTGAAAAGGGCATAATTCACTTGGTTCAGAACTCGGGGGCGTCTGAGGCAGAGTCTTCTCTGGCCCCTGCCTCCCGCGGGGGACGTGTCCTCGCGTCTGTTTCCTCTCAGAGGTGCTGTGCGCAGAGTCGCTCTCCCGCCCTGGACACACGTGGGGGCCCAGCACCCACCGTCAGGGCCCTCATCTTTTCAGTCAACGAGACCTTTCTGAGACGTTCTTTCTCAGCACGGGAAGAAATTCCGCCTTCTCGCCCAGCTGCGCGGTACTGCCGCGTGTGGAAGCACCCATCTGTCTAACCGTGAGTGCGCGTGGAGGTTGTGTCCAGTCTCTCCCTGTTAAAAGCAGTGCTACGGCGAGTAACGTCGCACGTACAAGTATCTCCCATCCACACTGCCTGTCCTGTGGGGTCAAGTAGAGGTGTCACCAGTTTCCACTCCCCCACGCTGACCGCAGCAAGTGTGAGCACGTTTGTTGACGTGTGGGTCTGGTGGGTGAGGAGTGGCGCCTCACAGAGCTGTAATTTGCGTTTCTCTCTCAGGACTGAGGTCGAGCTCTTTTCATATTATGTTTGCACTTCCTTCTCTGCTACCGTCCCTTCGTTTCCCATCCGGTTTTTGTATTAGATGGCTAGTTTGCACAAGTCCTGTAAGTGCATACGTTGGGAAAAGACCTTTTATGAGGCTCTTTGTAGCCTCATTGTCTATGTTATAACACAAGTACTGTCTGAAGATGTTTCGTTGACGCTGAAATAAGGGCTTTATGAAGAGATGAATGGTGTGTCCTCAGGATCGTGATTGCTACATCAGTGTCGTCATTAATTCAGTCACTGAGCAAACACGTGCCAGTGAGGCTGTGGGCCAGTGACGTGAACCCTGCAAGGAGTGTCATCTCTATGCTTACACACCTGGGGAAAGGAACAACACAGACGAGATTGGCACGGTGTGGTGTTGTAGGGAGGGGCTCGAGTCTCGAGAACTGTAAAATTAAATAATTTGCTTGGAGATTTGTATTTCTCTGACGTCTCTTGGGGAAATCAATTTGTGGATGAGAATGTCTCAAGTTCAGCATTGTTAATTGGTCGAGGCATCCTTTGGGATCTGTAATTAGACACATTTTTTAAAAGAGTCGGTTGCGTTGAATTATTTCTGACATGTACATGAAGTTGTCTGAGTCACAGGTGAGACGGCTCAGCAGCTTTGCTGGGATTCCTTTGGATGTCCACAAATCTGTAGAAATGGACAGAGCCGTCGGACCAGGCCAGACTGGGCAGGCGTGGGACAAGCGAGGCTGGGGGCGGCTGGTCCACGGAGTGTTGAGAGCGTCTCTCCCTGGGCAGCGTGGACCTAGTGCTACAGTCTGTGCACTTGGAGCGTGGGCCACAGGATTAGACAGACCCTGCTTTGGGGGGGCGGGGGAGGGCGTGTGTTGGCTTTTTGTTTGTTTGCTTTTGTTGTGCTTTGTTTCAGCTTCTGATTCCCTTGTGTCCAGTGAGTTTTATGTTCACTTATTCAGCATTCATTGCTGTCGGGATGTATGCTTCAGTTAGACTTGTTCCGATGATCAGAGTAAGCTAAGTGGACGCTCGCTCTTACGATGACCTGAAATGGATGACAGTTGTTGCCTTTAGGAGGGCAGCTGGCTACATGGTGGCCGGGGGAGGGGGTGGGGAGACACACGGGATGGGACACGTACTTTTCATTGTGTTCCCTTCTGCACCTTTTGAATTATATAGCATGGGTTTATATTACGTGTTCAAAATTTTTTTACGTCTTTAAAAAATTAACTTAAAGTCCTCATCTCCAATATTGAGATAAGCAATAGAAGGCTGATGTTTAAACAATTAATAACACTGGCCCTTCGTGTGAGATTTAAGTACGATTTCGCTAGCTTACCCTATGGGCTGCCTTCCAGTGTTAGTGCAGAGACGGGAGTCAGTTTGACCACATGGAGAAGGCAGTCTTCCCAACTGGGAGTCACCAGAGGGTGGCTTGGCAGATCATTGCCAACACCCTCATTCAAGATTGCCAGTATTGCCTTAAAACACTGGTAAATCCTGCTCCCTCAGAGGGACTGACCAGGAGACTCATAAATTGCACCGAATTGCTACGTCGCAGCCCAGTGAGAGTCCTAAGATATGTTCACTGCAGGGAAGATATCAAGTTGAAAAAGACTTTGATTTAGAAGATGGATCAGGATTAGAAAGACTGTTTATAATGGAAAAGGGGCCCGAAACCTTATTTATGAGGAAATTCAGTTTCTGAAAGCTGACTCTTATTAACAGGTGATCTCGAGATATGATGTCAAGGTTAACAAGTCAGTGCTCACGTTAGGAAGGATGTGTCAGGACATCCTCGGGGGCAGAAGAGAAGGAGCTGTTTGCTTGGTGGTGTTCACCGCAGTGCACTTGGTAGAAGCTGATTGCCCAGCGCCAGGCTGGATGGCGCTGTCTCGCCGTGATGTGGCAATGGCGCTCATTCTTGGCCAGGGTGGAATTTACAGGCTTCCTGGTCGGTCCCTTTGAGGTGGTGGGGTTTACCGATGGGATTAAGTGCAGAGTAGAGTTGACCTGAAAGGCCTGGACGGATTGGAGGAAGTTGCCCCAAATGATAAGGTGGTCAGTGTCATCGGTGAGAATGTGGCTGGAGCAGGTGGGACACGGTTAGGAAGACCTGCCAGAGAGCAGACCTTTCAGGTCTTTCAGGCCTCCCTAGAAGGTGGGTGCCCAGTGTGTCCAGGGTGCATTCCCGGGTCCCAGATCCTGAGACGTCCTGGAGTGGTCAGGAATAACTAAGTTTTCAGTCCATCAATCCAGTGAACTTCTACTCTTTCAAGACATGGGAGCTGAATGCAAAGCGCATCCTTTCAAAAGCCTCTTTTCCTGCATATTTAGGTATATTCCAGAGCAGCCCTCCGTAAGAGGGAATCTCATGATTTAATGAGGAACCTCTATTGGACTTCTCAACCAGAAAATTACAGAAAACGTTGGCTCTCCATCTTCTCGTTGGGTATGGTTTTCACCCGCTTCCTTCCTCGTCCTTAGCAGGGAAGAACTGGCGGACTGTCACAGGAGAGGCAGTGCAGCCTAATGAAGAGAAAATACACCTTGGACTCAGGCAGATCTGAGTTTGAGTACTAGGTCAGCTGCTCAGTAGCTCTGGGACCCTGGGGAGATCACTCACCCTCTCTGAACTTGTTTCCTGTCCCTCGTTTGGAACTACCTATGAGGCTGTCCATTCTTGTTTTGTATTTTAACGAACACAGTTTTTAAAAAGCAAGTAAGATCATTTTAAAAAGAAAAAATATACAGACATAAACTAAGATCAAATAGAGACAGAAACAAATTCTTATAAATCCCCAAGAGCTGAGCAAGTCTTTTCCAAGCTAGAAAAGCCAGAATGGAATCTCAGCACCAGCAGAGATGATGTGGGTTTGGGATCAGGGCCTGTGCCTCGTTACCTCGTGCACTCAGCGGAGGAGGGTCAGCAGGGGGGCATGTGCTCACTTACACACGTGTCCCCCCTCCCTGTTTCTAACTCAACAGCTATTTGTCCAGCTCATTTTTAATTTGAAAAGCTTAGTAATTATATCCATAGCATTTCTTATCCCATTGCTTGATCACTTTCTCTTGCCTCACAATGAAGCTTTTCTGATATCTGCTGATGAGACTAGTTTTTGCCTGAAGTGAGATCTGGGCGTGTGTTTGTAATCAGGGGGCTGCTGGGCGTGGTCCGTCTCTGCTGGCCCACCGAATCCTTCCCACGAATCCCTAAGCAGGGTTTGGTTCATGGTCTAGTGTCTAGTTTCAGATTTTTTTTTCCCAATAGGGTTTTCTGAATTGATGATCAGTGAGGTTCACCCCAAAAAAGTGGGAAAAAATGTTAAGAGCATAAAAACAAAAAAGTTTAAAGCAGATAAAATAGTCTATGTGGAAATATTCTGACTTCTTAAAACTCCCTTTTTATATGAAAAGGTAACTCTTGGAATTAGGGCTGTGCAGGTAAGGAAAATGAATAGTTCCTCCATGAAGAATTCTACCCGGGGCACAAAGCCTCCGTGTGACTCCCTGGGCAGGGTGCATGAGTAGAAGCAGGAAATCCGAGTCTGCAACACCCGGGGGTCGGCTCGTTCCAGGCGCCTTCCTCAGCAGCAGTGAGAATGGAACGTTAGGTATTTAGAAGCGAAAAAGGGATACCATGAAATAGAAACCAACTTATTTCAGCCAAAAAGTTTCCCTAATGTTGAAAACCATGATTATTTTGAAGACTAAATATGTAAAAATCTGTCTGGATGGAGAACTGGTGGAAGACAAAGCAGAAAAGACACAAATTCAGGGCGTGTTCCCCAGAGACGCCCGTGTGACCTCGTTGCCTCGGGGTGTTCTGCTCCCCACACGCATTCTGGATGGGGGGCCATGGCAGGGGGGCAGCTGTCTGCAGCCGGCAGTCTGGTGCCCTCCCGCCCCCAGGGGTGCAGCCTCTCCTCTGCATCCTGCTGCCTCTGGCGGATCCGTGGTGAGTTCAGAGCCAGTGGTCTTGAGAAGAGCTCGGGTTAGACCAAACCTCCAGGGCAGCCCCAGAGGTGGGGACACCGGGGAGCAGAGGATGGTAAATGCCGCCTGGCAAGATTCTAAAGCCGTGTTTGTATTGTTTCATGGAGGAGGCCGCCCCCGGGTACTCTGAGCTTAGCTCACAGGGTTATGAGTGCGAAGGCCCAGGGCCAGGGAGGGGCTTCCTGCCCTGACGGGGACTCAAGGGCCACGTGCCAGCTGGCTGTCCTCTGCACTGTGGCGTTGTGGCCAGCGCAGACTCCTCTCTCGTGTGCTACCAGAACTGCAGGGAACTTGAGGAGTGAGTGACACACATTTAGGTAAACCGGCCTCCTCGTATGACTCCCTTCAAGTATCAGTGAGGCAAAAAGTTCTGCGTTGTAATCGTGGCTTTTGCACTTGACAGCTGTGAGAGCTTGGAGAACGTACTCAACCTCTCTGAACCTTACTCCATTTTGTAGAGAATGGAAATCTCTCTCCTGGCATCCCCCAGCCTCACCCACTTGGCTGGTGTTCTGGGCACCGCCCCCTGGGCTCCCCAGCAGTCTCTGCCCAGCCTCAAAGCTGAGCATCCACCTTGGCCTGCCCGTTCTAGAGGGTTCCCCTGGCGCCACTCCTACTCCCCTTGGGTCGGCTCCTTAGCTCTTAAGGCCTGTCCTGCTGCTTCCTCCTGGGCCATTTCCTCTTCCCCTCTTCTGAATGCTTATACTGAAAAGGCCTGGAGGGACTCTCTCAGGGTCACCTGACCCTCCCCGCAGCCTGGATTCTGTAGCCTCCAGGGACTCCCAGCTCAGGGCCCCAGGCGGGCGGGTGACAGACACCAAAACCTCTGCTCTGGGTTTGCCGCTGCCCTCCAGGGGATGAGCACAAGTTTCCCTCTCTGACTGCTCACTGGCTCCTTGTAAGTTATTCATCTCCAGTCCCTCTGTCGTTTTTCTCTTTCCATTGATGTCGACTTGTCCCATTTTCCTCTCTGAATTTCTTTTTTTTTCCGGTGAGGAAGATCAGCCCTGAGCTAACATCGATGCCAATCCTCCTCTTTTTGCTGAGGAAGACTGGCCCTGGGCTAACATCCGTGCCCATCTTCCTCTACTTTATATGGGACACCGCCACAGCATGGCCTGACAAGTGGTGCATTGGTGTGCGCCTGGGATCCGAACCTGCAAACCCCGGGCGGCTGAAGCAGAGCGCGCACTTAACCGCTGCGCCATGGGCCGGCCCTGATTTCTCATTTCGAACTACATTTTTTATTCTCTTACAGTTAGTTGGGGTATAAATCCTAAGTAAATAAAGCCCTTAAGACCCCATGTTTCCGTTCCGTCGTCCACCTGTGACACGTGCACGTAGGTCCCTGTCAGGTCCTCCCCTCCCTCGACGTGGTTCCCTCCGGCTCTTACAGACACGTCCAGGGCAGCTTTGTGACCAGGGAGCGTGGAATTCTGAAGGAAGTGTTCATTGCTGTTTCCTCCTGCCCCTCCCCCCCATTTTCTTCTAAAAATAAATTTAGGTTGTTGTTGTTTTCTTCTGCCGCTGTTTATAAATAAATCCTCTTGTTCTCCCTAACTGTAGTGTGAAATGACCACCTGTGATGATAGACAGAGGGACCAAGAAGTTAATTTCAAAGAATTGAGAGCAACAAAAATGAAACCTGAGCTGCTGAGTGGACACATCCCCCTGGGCCACATCCCGAAGCCCATCGTGATGCCCGACTATGTGGCGTGAGTGCCCTCTCGAGTCCTCAGGTGGATGTTGAGAGACCGCGTCTGGGCCTGTCTTTCCACGTTAGTGGTCTCCGCTTAAACCCACGTAACTGTGAGCAGTCGTCTGTTGTCCAAGAGGCAGAGTTGAACTGAAGCCGCAACAGTGATGCACGACACCCGCTGAGCGGGTGTCCCATTCAGCTTGTTGTCATGAACCAGCAGTCACTTTGGTTTGCTTCTTCCTCAGGAAATACCCCTCGATTCGCACGGACGACGAGCGGGAGCGCTATAAAGCCGTGTTCCAGGACCAGTTCTCCGAGTACAAGGAGCTCTCTGCGGAAGTTCAGGCCGTGCTGAGGAAGCTGGACGAGCTGGACGCCGTGATGGGCAGACTGCCACGTCGTTCGGAAAACCAGCAGGTCAGTGCCTGCAGCTGCCTGGGGGGCTCCGAGAGTTAGCAGGAGGGTAGGAGCCGACCTTTCTTGAAATGTGGAGAAGCCATAACCACCTAGGTCTGCTGTCGGTATGTAGGAGAGTTATTTGAGATCTTCCAGGTGACTAGTCAGGGTTACAGTTCAAACTCTGTGACTTAATATCTTTCACCTCCAATTATTAAGCAGCATTTTGTTTTCTTGTGTAAGTAAAATATAAATTTGCCTAAGATACACACTGAGTCAATCAGGGTCCCAAAGGAAACAGACAGCACCCTCAGACTAAGATCATTTGAGGGGGTTTATTCACAAAGGGGTGGGCACGTGTAGGGGGGCCACCAGGGGCCGTGCATCCTTCAGTGAGTTTTAGTATATCACAAAGTCGTACAACCATTACCACTCTAATTCCAGAACATTTTCATCACCCAAAAAGAACCCCATACCCATTATGCATTACTCCCCATTCCTGCCTCTCTTCGACCACTGACGATGGCTAATGTCCTTTCTGTCTGCAGGGATTTGCTTGTTTTGAACATTTCGTATAAATGCAGTGATATAATATGTGGCCTTTTGTGTCTGGCTTCTTTCACTTAGCATAATGTTTTCAAGGTTCATTGATGTTGTAGCAGGAATCAGTGCTTCATTCTTTTTTGTGGTGGAATAATAATATTATTCCATTGTATGGATAGACTACATTTTGTTTATCCACTTATCAGTTGATGGGCATTTGGGTTGTTTCCACTTTTGGCTCTTGTGAATAATGCTGCAGTGAACAATTCTGTGTAATACCCTGTCCTTTTTAGGGGCTGGCCCGGTGGTGCAAGTGGTTAAGTGCACGCAGTCCACTGTGGTGGCCTGGGGTCCACCGGTTCGGATCCTGGGCACACACCGACGTACCGCTTGTCAAGCCGTGCTGTGGCGGCAACCCATATAAAATGGAGGAAGATGGGCACAGATGTTAGCCCAGGGCCAGTCTTCCTCAGCAAAAAGAGGAGGATTGGCAGATGTTAGCTCAGGGCTGATCTTCCTCACAAAAAAAAAAAAAAAAACACCCTGTCCCTTTTAAAGAGGATGTATTAGTCTAATCTATTACAGTGTGCACCGCATAACGACCTTTCGAACAATGGACCACATATACGACAGTGGTCCCATAAGATTGATACCACATAGCCTAGGTGTGGAGTAGGCTCTACCGTCTAGGTTCGTGTAAGTACACACTATGGTGTTCACACAATGATGAAATCGCCTAACATCGCATTTCGCAGAACGTGTTCCCGTCATTAAGTGACTCATGACTGTGCTGGTGTAACTAAAATTTCAAAAGCTCATACACTGTTCTAATAAATGTCAAACAAATTTATGTATATGTAATATGTATACATACTATATATATATATTCTTCTCCTGAGACCCGTATTCATCGAGCATCCTTGTTTTGACCACAGACTTTTTTTTTTGTTTTTTTTTGGTGAGGAAGATTCGCCCTCGGCTAACATCTGTTGCCAGGCTTCCTCCATTTTGTGTGTGGGTCTCCACCACAGCATGGCTGATGAGTGGTGTAACTTCGTGCTCAGGAACTGAACCCACGAACCTGGGCTGCCAGAGCAGAGTGTGCCAAACTTAACCACTATGCCACTGGGCTGGCCCCTGACCACAGACTTTTAAGTGCACGTTTACATCAGTTGTAGTTATCAGCTCTCTAAGCCAAAAGTGTAGCACAGTGACATTCTCCCCATCCCAGAGCGAGGGAATGGTGTTGGCTAAGAGATGCCAGTACCAGGAAGTGGGAGAAATCCAGCAAATACTGCAGGTCAAGGGTCAGGTGGTACATTTGGAAAGCAAGCAAGGTGCAGGGGTCCAAGAAGGGTGACCAAGTTCAGAGGCCCTCGGGAGTGAGGAAGGAATGAGAGCCCGGGAATGTGGATCAGCACAGGGTGGGAGGAGCGAGCTGGCTGGCAGACTCGAGGCCGGGAAGCCCGCCCGTGACGTGCAGTCTTTGAGCCCAGGCCCAGTGGTCTCTAGTTTGAGGCTTTGTAGGAGTGGGCAAGGGCTCGGGCTGCGGGAGGGTCCTGATTACAGTGGGTGCTGAGAGATTGAGTCCCCGTGGTACTTCCACACAGGATCAACAGGAGTCATTTCCTCTCGTTTTTAGTACAATGTGACAAGTAAGTGGCCAAACAGGGCACAGGTAGTCTGGTCCTCATCTAAAGTAGAAATGCCGACTGTCTCTTAGGAGTTGACCTCGCGTCCCCGCAGGCTGAGCTGTGCCCTGGGCAGGAGTCCCCACACAGCCCCAGGGCGTGTGTCAAAGCCCAGGGCCGCGGGGGCGGGAGGGGACAGGTTCTCTCTCAAACCCGACTGTGTACCCTTGAAAAATTAAACAATCACCTGACTTTTCTAAGTCCATAAAATAGGAATACTGCTCAAAATAATCCCTCTGGTCCTCACTCTCTCAAATTCAGTTTCTGTGACAGACCGCGGGGCTGGCTTGACAGCTCTCCCCTCTGCCTGCGGCCCCAGCACAGCTCCCGGCCTGGGCAGTGGTTCACACCGAGCCCAGGACCTGTCACAGAGGTGACCGCTGCGTTACCAGGGGCCTCTCACTGCCAGCAAACGATCAAAACACAGCGATGCTCACGATCTTAGTGTGTAAAAGACATCATAGAATTAAAATGTACTGCGAAGAGGATGTGGGTAATCGATGGCAGTGTCCTCAGGGGAAGCTTTTAGAACCATACATTATTACATTTGATGTTTTATTTAGCATAGGTTTTATGGATAAATGAGGGCCTTGCTCTGGTAACCTGTTCTCTTTGGATAGACAGTTGGACCCCTTAACACATTTCATATTTATTGTAAAACGTAGAATAAACTTAGAAGGAACCTTATATTACCTATTTTCACAAGTTGATTAGTCTCAGTCTCTTAATCCCAATACCTGATAACTTGCAAAAGAACTTTCCAAAGGGGGTGAAAAACGACGATTATAGCTAGCGTGGTTGTCATGCACCAGCACCTTATAAGGATCGTTCCGGGTACGTGAGCCTCTCACAGCCTCTGAGGTAGTTGTGGTCATTGTTTCCATTTTACCCATAAGGGAACTGAGTCTTGGGGTAAAGAGGGTTACACGCTGGCAGGCTGCGGCCCGGGACTCCGTTCTGGGTTTGCTCAGGCCTTTCTCTCGTCCCCCCAACCCCCAGTGCCTGGCAGGCAGCAAGCCCCCAGATGTTCGTCCAGTGAGTTGAATCTTTGTGTGTGAACATTTTCATTATAGTCTTAGGTAGAAATTGTTTCCTGTTCTAATTCCCCCTCTACTCTGAGACATTCTTAAGAGATGATCTGAGTAAATGCAAGTATTTTAATTCAGACGTATGATATGTTATTTTTAGGAACATGAGAGAATTTCAAGAATCCATGAAGAGTTTAAGAAAAAAAAGAATGTGAGTAAAACAATTTTCTTCCAAGTACGTTCTCATCCAGGTACAGTGGTGACAACTGACAGACTCTAGATTCTTTTAGCTGAAGTAGTTCTTCTTTTGTATTTCTTAAGATGCTGCTTGTTAGGGAGGGAGCATGGATGGCTGCTGGGCGCCTTTCTTCTCATCTCTGTCCTGAGTTCACCTGCCCCATCCTGACTTAGCAGCCCAGGGAGCGAGCGCCCACACACACTTCCTCACCTACAGTTCCTTCGGGAGGATGAGTTACCTCACGCCTGTCTGACTCCAGCCTTAACTTAGTTGCGCACATCGGTAGAGCTGGAGAGAGCTTTCTGTACTGATTACTTACTTTTTTACATATTTTACTAAAGTTAAAGGTGCCTCAGCTCTCTGTACTGCCCACTCGATTTTGCTGTCAACCTAAAACTGTTCTAAAAAATAAAGTCTACTGAAAAATGTAGAGAGCTTATCTGTTCTTATTTGGCAGATTTTGAAATCTGCAGGAAAATCTGCCTTGAAGGGTCATTTCTAGGCGATAATGTATGTTTCTGTGTTTTTCACTGAGGAAGCCAGAGGCTGAAATGATGGCTGTGTTTCTTTTCCAGGATCCTACATTTCTTGAAAAAAAGGAACGCTGTGATTATCTGAAGAATAAACTTTCTCACATAAAGCAAAGAATTCAAGAATATGATAAAGTAATGAATTGGGATGTCCAAGGTTCTTCTTAAACCTTATTCGAAACCACTTTTTTATATCAGTCAATATTTATTTACTGTCTTTTCTCTGCTGGACCCTGTGATGGAGAAGCAAGTGCTTCCTGAAGCAGCTCGGACGGGTTTAGCTGGTGTGCAGTGTGCAAACAGGACGGCTTCACTTCAGAGGTTTCAGAACAAATTCAGGTGTCTAAGAATGGAGGGAATCCCGTATGCATCTCTGTACCTGTTAAAAGACAACGCCATTTAGAGATCACGTCCTCACGGTGTGATGAGCAAGTGGACTGTCAATGCCAGTGCTGCTTTCTCCTTTTTCGTTCAGGCCGATTCCTAGGATTTTTCTAGGACAAATTTCTCTTCCTAGCCAAAGGTCTCATTTCTTCCCTTGAAGGGTTTGAATCCGAGATCAACACTTTCGAGCCTCATGAATTTGGGAAGGTTGCTTCATCTCCCTGTGCCTCTTCCCCTCATCTGTGAAATGGGGCTGAGTGTACCTACCTCGTGGGGTTATTAGGATTGACGTGAGTTAATATTCGTAAAGTCCTCAGAACAGGGCCTGGCTCGTTACAAGCACTACGTGAGTGTCTGTGAAGTCTACAGAAGTGTTTGTGAGATGAATCAACTGCCGAGAATAAGTCTCGAGGAAGGGTCCTTCGTGAGCAAGCCCAGCCAGCTAACCAACAAGCCACGTATCTCATGACTTTCCTCTTTGTGCTGTTGATAACCTCTAACCACTGAGCCTTAGGCAGATGCTTCCCTGTGGTTCTGCACCCGCAGCCGTGCAAGGCAGTCTTCGTACCTTTAATCAGTATCACTGCACACCTGTCTCCGCATCCCCCAGCCCAGCCGGTCCTGTGCACACAGAACAGGAGGATGGTTGAGTTTGTTGCCTTTTCGGTCCTGTTTGGACATCCATCCTAAGGCCCCCGATGTTACATTTACTTAGAATCTGCCTTTGATTTATTGGGGTGCTTCATCTCCCCAAGAATTATCTTGCCTTTGGGGCTTTATTCATGAGAAATGTTTTATTTTTATTAGTATGAACAATGACCTGCCTAAAACAATGTTTTTAAAAAATCATTGTTATTGGCTCCTATTCAGCATCTATCTTGTAGATAATTTCCAAGGTGTAGAAATATAATTTCTCCTTCATATAGCTGCCATTCAAACAATTAAAGTTCAAAGAATTTTCTAGAGTGATGAAACCAAAGAAAAGCATATGGAAAAGCAGAGGCTTAAAAAGTGTTGGTTACTGAATGAACATCCTAGTTTTTCTTTGTCAGTGAAATCTTATTTAGTGTTTATTGTTAATATTTTAGTTCCTTGGTTCTCAGCTTAGGTCCCGAGAGTCTTAAGAGGTGACACCAAGGGAAGCAAGGCCCCTCTGGAAGCTCCCCAACTGGAACAGCTTCACTTTCTGTCCCCATGTGAACTTTTCACTTAAGAAAAATGCCAGTGCTTAAAAAAAAGAAGAAATAATACCTTTTTGGTAGACTGTAAAGAGTTAGATTAGTATTGAAATGAAGTGTTATGGAAATTTAACTTTTCGAAACTGTTTTTACTACGGTTGTAAATGTGGTCTTTGAAGACCAGTGTTGTAACACTGATGTTAGACGTTTGTGTCCATGCCGAGGCGCGCCAACATTTCAGTTACCTCTAGCTTTGTGTGTGTGTTTATTGTCTGCTTTTCTAGCATTCCTGTGTTGACTGGGCATGTTCCTGAAAATAGTTTCCATTATTAGAAAATAAACTGGAAAATCACTGAAAACCTGTGGGTCATGCTGTTCAGGTGACTGTTTCCTCCTCCCCACTTATTTGCAGGAATTCAGAGTCAAGGCCACGGTGTTGGTTTCCTCAGGCTGCCGTACAAAGTGCCACAAGCTGAGTGGCTTACAAAGACATTGACTGTCTCACAGTTCTGCAGGGTAGAAGCCTGAAATCAAGGTGTCAGCAGGGCCCTGCTCCTCTGAGACCTGTGGGGGAGCCCTTCCTGGCTCTGGGGGTTTGCTGGCAATCTCTGGCTTATGTGTCACCCCAGTCCTCCGTCTCCACGTGGCCTTCTCCCCGTGTCTCTGTCTTCACATGGCCATCTTCTAGTGAGGACACGGTCATGGTGAATTAGAGACCCACCCTCTCCAGTATGACCTCATCTTAACTGATGACACCTGCAGAGACCCTATTTCCAAATAGTGTCACATTCTGAGGGACCAGGGGTTGGGACTTCAACATATCTTTTTTGAGGGGACACAGGTCTACCCATAACAGCCCCCCTTGGCAAGTTGTGAGGTTCAGAAGCACTGACACTTTGAATTTTCTTTCTTCTACCAGACTTGAACATGTGTTCTAATCGAACGTTAATATGAAAATGTGTCAGGATGTCTAACACGAGAGAGGAGGGAAGTGCGTATTCTTCCCGCGCTCGTTGGCCAGTTGTGGGCCCAGCGTTTTTGTTGGCCTGGTGCTGTCCTGGCGTTGAAGACGGAGTCGTCAGTGGGACAGGTGCAGACCCTGAGGTCGAGGCCCAACAGGACAGCTGAGTGAGAATGCAAGGGGTTGGTGATGAAGGACGCACTAGAAATGGTTTGTGTCTTGGACCTGATGTTGACATGCGCCAGTGTTCAGAAGATAGTATAGGAAAAGTCTATGATTTTTCTGACTCGCACCTTTTTTTAAAAAGCTATTGTAGAATATTTTTAAAAGGAAAAAAACTAATGAGTATAAACGCTTAGAAAATGCAAGTCCCACCACTATCAATTCCACTCTCTGTTGGTAAATACTGTTTGGAGCACATCCTTCCAGTCTTTTTTATGATACATATAATCATTTAAAAATTGTCTCTTTTAATACTTTAAGTGTGTTTTTAAAGAAGGGCGTCTGAGAGGCTGCGCCAGCGTGAGAGAGCAACTCTCCCGCGGTGGAGACGCTGGGGCCGTCCCAGGGAGGAGGGGGGAAGGTGGACCTCAGAGCGCGCCACAACCAAGACCCCATTACTGACAGTGACCCCGACAGATGACCCTCTCTGAGCATCAGCCTCCTCTGACGTGGGGATGCGATGCTGCGTGATGAAACTGCTGTGAAGATTCAGTGGAACAGTGTGTGAGATACAGGCAGATGCTTGCTCAGTGGATGGTGGCTAGGTATTCAAAATATACTTGTCACTGAGTTGGATCATGAGTTGGCTATTTGAAAAGTAGAATATCGAAATGACTATTTAATAACAATGATAAAAGGCTTGTTCAGAAAGCATATAGGTAATATGTATTTGTTGTAGAAAATTTAGAAAATGAAGATAAGCTCATACTCTTCCAAAAAAGCACACAAATAAAATTGCCTATAATTCGACCCCAGAGATAGTCACTGTTAACCTTTTGGAGCATATCTTTCCATTCTTGTCTTACTCAGGTATATATTTATGTAAGCATATTATATAAAGAAAGAGTTTTGCTATTTACAAAATAAATTTATTATATAGTATGTTGTGTTTTGCATTTTAATTAAGAATTAATAAAACTAGATCATGTAATTTTTCTGAATTCAGAGTTATGTTTTCTATTTCATTTTAATGCAATTCCGTTATATTACCATTGTTTTTAAATTATTAATGTTCTTATTGTATGGTGAGAAAAGCACAGAATAGGAGTTAGTTCTAGGTTCAAACTGTGTGGCCTCAAGCAAATCACTTAACTCCTCTGAGCTGTGGGATCAGATGAGATTAAAGTACCTGAAATCATATTGTAAACCATAAATCTCTATGAAAATCCTTACTTTCAGTTGTACATTTTTTGTTCTGATGTTGTTGATAAGAACTTTTCCTTATAGAAGTATAGCTCATTATTAATGAGTCTATTTATTATATAATCAGGGCTTCTTTGGAGGTCTGTATATCCCAGTGCATCTACCTAGCTCCGCAGTGGGCTCAGCACGTTCAGATAACCTCTCCCTTTCAGCTGATTGACTGGACAGAGCCCCAGCGTCACGCGCCAGTGTGAGAGGAGGCGGAGCAGGGAGGTGTTTTCCCGTTAACAGGGTGCAGATTTGGCACCTTCTGTATAAAAAGGCCCCCAGATATAAGGAGCGTATCATGCACATGCCCCTCCAGGTGTGTAAAGCTTTCATTATGTTTGCCCTGTGGCTTGTTTAATGGCTAACTACCATTTCGTTGCTTTGGAGGAACTAAAGTTATCGCGAGATGTTAGACCCATAATAGGCACTTACCAAGGCAGTTTGACTTGTCAGTAGCATACAGGGTTCCTCTCTTTACACAGAACACCCTTTTATGCTACCAATTAAAACAACAAATACTGGTAATCATCATTTAGGGGAGAATTTTGGTGGAAGGATGTAGCAGTCAGGGTTCTTCATAAGCCATAGAAACCAAACCTGATTGCTTTAAAGAGAAGAGGAATTTATTACCATCTCCTGTCTGGCTTACAGAATTGCTGGGAGGGCTGGAGAACTGAATTTGAGGCCACGGAGCAGGCACAGTGTCCAGAATCACACCTAAAATCCTATCTGTGACAACAGCACTCCTGCCCTCTGTGCCACCCGCCCTGCCATCCTTGAATGCTGGGCACCCTCATGACTCAGATGATTCAGAGGGAGAAGCAGCTTGATGGAACCTGCCCTTCTCTGCTGCAAGGGAGACTGGGATGGCAAGGGCCTTCTGAGCTTCAGCAAGTGGGCTGGGCCTCCCACCAGGAGTCATCACTTGCCAAAAAGAAAACAGATATCACCTACAGAATAGTGGTTGTCCTGATTGTGAGTGTGGTCAGGGGTTTGTCTTACTCGTTTATGAATAGGCCGGATACACAAATGGCAGCCAACGTCAAGACGTACTTAGTCTTAATGCTTCCAGGGCTGAGAGAAGAGGCAGGAAGCGTCCCCACCAATGTCCTAGACATAGGAGGTCTGTTCCTGGCCTCCACGTTTGAGATTCAGAAAACATCACTCAATGAGCATTGCAATGCAATGATTCCCTGGCCTTTCCAGATTAGGTCAAATCCTCCTATTATATGCTCTTGCACACCTGTACCTCCTATTGAGATGAGTACAAATGCTTACCACGAGACATGCACAAGAGTGCTCAGAGCAGCTTGACTCAGAATAGCCCAAAGTGGCAATAACCCAGAT